TATTTCATTTCCTGATCACATACTGCTGGTAACACCCAAATAAGCCTTTACCGGCTTCTTACCCATGTTACAATTCATATCTCCTGTCTACAGAACGTCTCCATTCCGAGCCTGCCACCTCAGCGGGCATCTAGATTATTGTACTGAGGTGCAATCTATTGATCTGTGAAATAGAGTGGTTAAGCTTGATGATTTTTATTCTATGACTTTAGGATTTTTAAGCCTGAAAGCGAACATTATTTTACCTCTAAACCAGGTAGCTCACCGTTCTTTGATCCTTTTAACTTGTGTCTTTATATTTAAAGTGGGTTTTTCATAAGCATATAGCTTTTTAAAAAAATACAATTTGACAGGGGCCCATGGGTGGTCAGTCGGTGTAGCGGCTGCCTTTGGCTCAGGTCATGATCTCAGGGTCCTGGGATTGAGCCTGCTCAGTGGGGGGGGGCCTGCTTCTCCCTCTCCCTCACTGCTCCCCCTGCTTGTGCTCTCTCGCTCTCTAATAAATAAAATCTTTAAAAAAAAATTGACAATTGCAGCCTTTTAGTTGGGGCTTTTAGGATATATATATAATATATGTGTATACATAATTTATTTTTAGTGTTGGGGGGGCAGAGGGAGAGAGAGAATCCCAAGCAGACTTCATGCCTGGCATGGAGCCCAACATGGGGCTTGATCCACACAACCCGGAGATCATGACCTGAGCCAAAATCAGGATTGGATGCTCAACTGACTGCGTCACTCAGGTGCCCCTAGGTCATTTATATTTAATGTAATTATTGATATGATTGGGTTTAAAGCTTCCACTTGCTGTTTGTTTTTTATTTTCCTATCTGTTCTTTTGTTCCATTTGTTTTTCTGTCCTCTTTTTTTTTTTTTAAGATTTTATTTATTTGACAGAGAGAGACACAGCGAGAGAGGGGACACAAGCAGGGGGAGTGGGAGAGGCAGAAGCAGGCTTCCCGCCAAGCAGGGAGCCCGATGCGGGGCTCGATCCCAGGACCCTGGGATCATGACCTGAGCCGAAGGCAGACGCTTAACCTAGTGAGCCACCCAGGCGCCCCTGTCTTTTGTTTTTTTAATTCTAGTTTATCTCCTTTTTTTTTCATTAGCTGTAACTCCACTGTATATTTTCAGTGGTTTAAAAAAAATGTTTATAGTATACATCTTCAACTTATTAAAATCTATGCTGAAGTGCTATTTTACCATTATACATAAGGTAAAAAGAACCTTGCAAAAATCTTCAGATCTTTGTGCTACATTTTCATGTGAGTTTTACTTCTACATGTTACAAATCTTATAACAACATTGTTACTATTTTTGCTCTAAACATAGTTGTTAATTTGGCTCTTTGTTCCTTTGTGTAGATGCAGATTCCCATCTGGCATACTTTTCCATCTGCTTGAAGGACTTCCTTTAACATTTCTTACGGTATCAGGTCGGCTGGTGATGAATTCTTTTAGCTTTTCTGTGTCTGAAAGTCTTTATTTCATGTTTGTTTTTGAAAAATATTGTATCTGAGTATTCTAGTTTGACAGTTTTATTTTTTCTAGTACTGGTTTTTTGTTTCACATTGTGTCTGACAGGAAGTCTGCTTTCTCTTCTTTGTTCCTCTTTCCATAATAGGTCTTTTTTTCTGTGGCTGATTTTATTTATTTTTTTTATTTTTAAAGATTTTATTTACTTATTTGATAGAGACACAGCGAGAGAGGGAACACAGGCAGGGAGAGTGGGAGAGAGAGGGAGAAGCAGGCTTCCCGCGGAGCAGGGAGCGCGACGCGGGGCTCGATCCCAGGACCCTGGGATCATGACCTGAGCTGAAGGCAGATGCTTAACGACTGAGCCACCCAGGCGCCCCTTTGTGGCTTATTTTAAATTGCTGTTTTATCACTGATTTCATTTTTTTACCATTGATTTAAAAGCAATTACATGTAATATGCCTTGATATCTTTTTCTTCATGTCTCTTGACCCTGGAATTTGTTAAACATTATGGGTCTGTTGATTTATGGTTTCTAGCAAATTTAGAAACATTCTAGCCCTCATATCTTTGAGTGTCTCTCCCCACCTCAACTTCCTCAGGCACTCTGGGCAAACACTGGGCTGCTTGACATTGTCCTTTAGCTCATTTGATGCACTGTCCATCTTTTCTCAGCTGTTTTTTTGTTTCATTTTGGATAGTTTCTATCACTATGTCTTCAAGTTCATGATCCTTTCCTTCTGCAATGTCTCATCTAATTCTATCCAGTGCGTTTTTCTTCTCAGAAATTGTAGTTTTCATTTCAAGATGTCAGAGTTGTGCTATTTTATACCACTCACCTCTCCACTTAACATATTTAATCTTTCCTCCAGCTTTCTGAACATACAATATAGAGTTATTATAACTGTTTCAATGTCCTTGTCTACTAATTCTATCACCTCTGCCATTTCTGGTGTCAACTGACTTTTTTCTCCTCGTTAAGGGTCGTATTTTCCCTCATATGTGCATGCAGGAAAACTTTTGAATGGATGCTACTAGATACTGTGAATATCACGCCATGTTGCTGAATGCCCATTTTGTATTCCTATTAATATTTTCAAACTTTGTTCTGGGACATAGTTGAATTACTCAGTTATCCTTCTGAATAATTAAGTTTTGTTACACAGGACCCAGTAAGTTTCCACTACTGAGGCAAAACTTCTGAATACTCTACCCGCTGACCCAGGAATCGTGAGTTTTCACTAGGGCTGGCTGGAAAGGGCGAGACTTCCGTAGGAGGTTCGATCGTTCTAACACTTCCAGGTGGCTCTTTCGCGGGCCTAAGCAGTTTTCTCACATGCTTGATCTCTGCAGATCTTTGAGGCTTTCGTAAAGCTCTCTCCCCTCCAGACTCTAGCTGTCTTCATCTCCCTGGTCTCTCAGCTCTGGCTCCTTAATGAGGGTGAACACCAGGTTCTATTTGGGTTCCCCCTCCCTGTGCCACAGCCTGGAAACTCTCTCAAGGGAAATAGCTGGGTCGACCGTAGGATTTATTTCCTTTGTTTTCTCTCAGGGTTCACTGTCCTTCGTTGACTGATAGCTAATGTCCTGAGAACATTTCATCAAAATGAAAACATCGCATGCATCTGTTATTTCACATATTTGTCTATTTTTGTTTGTTTGAGGTGGGTAACCCTGGAACTTGTTATCCGTGTTAGATCGAAGTGGAAGTCTCGATATGCGAGCTGAAACCTGAATCACATGCTCATCCTTTTAGAGTGCATGTCCCACTCCCGGTATCTTGTTGATCCATCCTTTGAAATGTCTCTCAAATGTCTCCTTTCACCCTTTTTGATCCTGAAAAGATCTCTGACAAGACCTTTGTGGCTCTAGCGTTCGACCAGCCCACAAATTTTTCTTTTTCTTTTTTTTTTTTACGGTTTCCCCTAGAATCTGATGTACAGTAGCACTCAACAAAGTTGCTAAATTAATGAATTGGCTCTTCTTTTAGACACAACTTACTAGTATTTCTTTGGCTTGTAAAGCCTCTTAATCGCTCCCGTCTAACCACAAGTCAAGTCCAAGCTGAGGCTACTGATCTGTGCTTTACATAACCCGCTATTCGTCAGCCTATGTGAATCCTACCACTCCCTAGAATAAATGGTGTTTTTAAATTTTTTTATTTTATATATTTATTTAAGTAAACTCTACCCCCAATGCGGGGCTTGAACTCATGACCCCGAGATCAAGAATCGCACGCTCCCCAACTGAGCCGGCCGGGTGCCCCCCAAGTGGTGCATTTTTAACATATGTCTTATAGTCACTACTAGCTATAAGCCTTTTCTCACACGTTCCTTCCTAAAAGATCATTTCCATTCTGCCTCTTAAATTTTATCCATCCCCAAATCCTCAAAAGGTCTTTCTTTCTCCTATTTATGCAAAACTCACCTTTCCTTGAATTCCTACGGCAGCTACTGTCTGTGCTTGCTTGAGCACTTTCATTGTTCCTCTGTGGGTGTGCTTTTTACGGTTTTGTGGGTCTTACATTTTGTCTTTCCAAAATGGACCAAAATCTCGGGAGAAGTAGGAACCACCTTTTACAATTCTTTCATAGGTCTTAAGACACAGTGGGTACTGCGACAGACTTAAAAACGAAGGCAGAGACCACTGTGATTAATGTATGCATTCTACTGGGCTCACTTATTTACAGTAAATTGGTGTCTCACTCATCACGTTATTTTTGTTGCCCACATTGTGAAATGATTCTGTTGGTGAAAATCACTTCACAAAAGGTCTTTTTTTTTTTTTTTTAAAGTAAATTCTACTCCCAATGTGGGGCTCAAACTCACGATCTCGAGATCAAGAGTCGCATGCTCCACCGACTGAGCCAGCGGGGTGCCCCAAGGTCTTACAGGTTTTAAATCAAATCCTACCTTAGACAATATTATTGGGTCAAGATTCTTGAGTATACTTCATTTCATTATTTGTCAAATTTTTATTTATCAAATTCAATACTATATCCTCATCTCTACAAAATAATGAATTTTAGGGATGTTATGTCAAATAATATTTAAACAAAACCAAGGAAACCCTGATATCACATAGCCAGTGAATATAAGTGGTATTTATTTATGCAAACATATTATAAAATTCCTCTAACTCTTCTAAAAATAGTTATGTTGTCATATAAAATGGGAAAATCTGAAGTGCATATCAAGATTTCATTTTTAGTTTATAAAATATATTGAGGTAAAATTCCTTGCCACAAACATGTAAGAGTTAACCAGAGTGAGAAAATGTAAAAAAACCCCAAAAAACCAAAAAAACCAAACCATCAGTTTCTACGTTGGAAAAGGCATGATGGCAATTTTTTTTTTAAGTGTTTTGATGCTAGGAATTCCCATAAAAAGAGTCAATTTTTCTTATCATGACGACATTTTGAAAACCCACATAGCTTCACCCCCTGCCAACTAAATTTAGAACACATGAAATAAACTCCCCATACAGAATACTTTTGTGCTAAAAAACAGGTAATTCACATTCTGATAAAGAGCAGAAGACAAGTGCTTTATTATGAGAACTGTTCAAGTAAAATTTCAGTGTGCACCAGTGAAAGTGAATAAAGATTTGCATCAATTTTTCTGAATGAACACTAGGTTAAAAAGGGGCTACACAGTTTTTTTTTTTTCCAAACACCATCCTTTGCTAAGGCAAAAATACACTTCATTTTAGAACAGAACTGTTACAGAGGAAAGCTATGTCACAGTACAGTACAGAATGTAAAATTCACCCTAGTCTGGATGCCATTGCGGAATGGCACATCACCTACACGTAGAGCATTCTGATGCAGGTTAGAATTACAGTATTTATCACAGCTTTATTCTCCTTTGAACTGATAAAATTTGAATACCCTTTTCCATTTCTCAGGAGTGTGCAGATGGGGCCCATATGTTGATATTACAGTAATTACAACATTAAATAACATTGCACAGTCAACCTCCAAGGCTAATTCAGTAAAAAATAACAAGTATTAAAATGTACCTTTCCTCGTGGTTTTACATCGCATATATCACTAATTATGAAAGAAAAGGAGGCAAATGCCCAATTACAAAGCTGCACATTATAGGCGTAACAATGTGGAATAAATACAAGAAATCTGGCAAAATATTAAAAACAAACATGTTACATGGGAACAAACTCAACAACCACGTAAGCGTAAATCAATAATACACTGTTATAAATAGTAGGTGTTGCTCAAAAGTCTCCTAAGTACTTACAGATATTACTGTGTCGGGGGCAGGTGAAAAGGATGGGAGGAGAATAGGTCCATGTTCCCAATGCCAGTTAGTTCCTGAGGTGGCATTATTTCTTAACTGATGCATTGATCAACACTGTAAAGATGAGCTTGTGCTATGAGACAGTCCCGATATTCTATTTCCGCAATTACATTGCGGTATTCAGAAGGCAGCAAACCTAAGTGACAGTTTACATTTATAATAGCCAGATGGAGTGTTGATTCTTTTTAATTTTGCTGCTACATTTAGCAGTGGGCCAGAAAACACTTTAAAGTTTAAAAGAAATGTGATACAGGTTTAACTTTTTCCCCAGTACTTCTTAGCTCAAGGCAAAGCTATTAATATTTTGATGTAGTTCATTTTAAAAACTCTAAGTGCCAACACTGTAAACATTTTGTATTTTCTCAACTACACCTTGTCTGAGAACAAGGAGAAGAGCATAGGTAAGCAGGAATAATTCTGTGTACAGTAAAGCTGATCTATTTATCAGCTCCTGGTTTAAATTTAAATAGGATTTAAAAATAATTTTTAGAAGTCCATGCTACAACTTTAAAGACTATTTCTGTGCACTTTTAATTCTGGACACAATTTTCAAAATTGCATGATGGAGGTAAGAATTTAAAAAACCCACCAGAATGTAAGTAACAGGGAAGAACATCTCCAACTGAAAGTGTCAAACATACATTTATGTGCAGAAATCTAGACAACTATACAGGTTCTTTAAGCAATCATCTGTTTTATTATACAACTCTATGAACAGAAAATGAACAGAAATACACAATATACTTACCTGTACATGTGAAACCTACTTTTTTAGCTACAGGTATTTAGTATACTTCACACGGACTTGAGTTGTCCAGTCCCTAACTATGTATGTCCTTATTGCATGAAGGGCGAATTCTACATGGGGGGAGACTCACAGGCCAATCGCCTTAGGCATTACCAATACATTCAAAACTGTACCTCATATGTGAATGCATCTTCCCTGATCCTGTAAATTTGAGTTTCTTTACAGCTTAAGCTCATTCGCTATTTTAGATGCAATGTTCTTAAAGGCAATAGATGTCCCAGATATTCGCTTGAAGCGGACCCCGTTCAGTGACAGCCGTGGCAACTTGCAGACCTCCATCTCCCACTGCACGAGGCTGTCCTGTCTAGCATCGCCGTGCACACAGAAAAGCAAGAACCTCTCTTTTTGTTCATAGTCACAGTTATTTGCATCTAACACTTTCCGGATTTCTCTCATCATGTCATGGGGGTCCATTGAACTAGTGGTCTTCATACTCCACGTGAACCGCAAAGAACGTGGCTTAGAATCTTTACCCTCTTCCTTATCTCTTTCTTTTGGTTCCCCTGACGTACTTCTAGAAGGGGAGGGCAAAGGGAGAGAATGGAAACAAAAATTCCACTCAGCAAACAAGTCAAAGCACACATGAAATCTAAGTGGTCATCGCTCAGTGTCTAACGAAACTACCCAATTTACAGACTACCTTCAGGTAATTACAAACATTTGTGTCACCTTGCTGTCCCCAAAACAGACCCCGGGACACCATCTGCCTTGGCTTTGTTTGTGGGAAACAAGTTTACAGCTGAAAGTGAAGAACTTAACACTTTGTCAGTTCCCTGCAGAAGCAGATCCTCCATTTCCTGTACATTTACACAAACAGAAACCGCTAGCATTCTACTTATAAATACACATTTTAAAAAATACAAATTTCCCTACCTTTTTTGGGTAGCAAAAGGACTGGGGGCAAGGCTAGTAGGAATGGCTACAGGGGGATTATTTACACCTGATCATGCTGACAAAGGATGTTGTATTGCAAGGAGGTAAAGGCATCAGGTCATAGCACACGTGGAAGTGTAGACGTCAGGCCCTCTCGGGGTTTCATCATTTTGCTAAAGACATCCTTAACGTAGTCTGCCAGGCTCCACGTGACCCATACCCCCACTCCTACCTCCAACCCCTCATCTTGTAACTATCTTCCTCCCTGCTTCCTCCTCTCAAGACATACTGGCCTCCACGCTGTTCCTCAGAACGTGTGGGCTGTGTTGCTTTCAGGCTCTCCCCTTAGGGAGCTGCACGGCTCACGCCCTTACTTCCTTCAGATCTCTGCTCACTTTCTGCCTGCGGTCTAGCCTGACCACCCTCGGGCCCCCCAGCCCCCCCCAACCCTGCTCTAGTGCTTCCTCTACGGCACTTGCTACGTTCTAATATAGTATCTTTTCCCTAAGATACCATTTAATTCATTTATGTATTATGGTTATTACGTACTGTCTGACTCTACCACTAGACTGTAAATTCTAGGAGACCAAAGGGTTTTGTCTGTTTTGCTCACTGGTCTATCTCCGGACTCTAGAACTGTGCTGGGCACACGGGAGCTGACGGACACATGTTTGTTAAGCGAATCAACCTTACTGAACTGTCCTTATTGTAAGTCTCCCATAAATAATATAGAACCAGAAAACCTATTTCAAATAATCACAGAAAGGTAAAATAGATTATTTATGATTCAGAAGACCCTGTAATTAAATTGGTGGAGCAATTTCCCAAATAGAGATGTTGCAATTTTAACTTGTTAATCTAGCTCACTTATATGTGATTTAAAAACAAATGATATACTTTGAAAGGAGTCTATAACCTACGATATAAACATTTTGTTTATATGTATATATGTATTCATATATACACTTTATGTCAATATTATCATATAATACATATTTGCACATATATTTGTATATATGAATTTTTATGTATACATTTATATATATATTTTCCTCCTCATTCCTAGGTACCTGAGCCCAAAGTTCTGCAAACTATGCAAGTTTGGGAAAATTAGAAAGGAAGAAGTAGAGAAAATAAATTTCTAAGACAGTGTTTATTTCACTGTCTTCTCTATCATTTTCTTTTTGCTCACGGACGCTAAGCCATTGCATCACAGGCGTCCTTGGGCATGCAGATCTCATGAGAGTCGTTTATCAGAACCACACGTACAACCCCGGGTATGGAATCGGCATGCCAGGGCTGGAAGGGACCCAAGAGAACACGTGATTGAACCCTCATTTTAAAAACAGAACTGATGGCTTTACTTTTTCTAAGGTCATAGAGCTAATGAGCTGAAAAGCAAAAACCAGGAATCAGTTTTTCTTCCATTCCACCAAGGTCACCTGGTGACCTTGAGACGACAGGCACATACAAGATGTTTTTCTACATGTACCTCAAAGGCATCACCACTGGTGACATTAACTGTAGAAAGCTCCTGAAAATGTTAATACTAATTGTAACAGCGAACATTTACTGGGCACTTACTAGGTGCCAGGAACTGTTCCCAGCACCTAACATGCATTATTTACTCATTTACCCTAACGACTCCGGAGCTAGAGCAACTTCCTAAGGTCACACAGCGAGGCAAGTGGTAGGACACGGCTCAAATGCTGGCGTCTGGCTCGAGAGCCCCAGTCACGCCCCTGACATGACAGGACCTCCTGCTCCTTACTGTTCTTCAATTGCAGAATGGACACTTTCCACCTGGCTGTTGTGAGAACTGAATGACCAGCTAGTTACAGGCAGGAGGCATTCAATAAGTTTGTTGAAAAGCACAAAGAAAAAAAAGAAAGAAATCAAAACCCAACAACAACAAAAGAAAGGGACACACAGGCCCGTGGAAAGGACAGAGCAGACATAGGGGGCCCACCTGTAGCACTCACTGTACTATTATTACGTGTCTCAGAGGGAAATTTAGTGGGGAGGCAGCATGAGACCCAAGAGGCTCCAAAGTGACGACTGAGTGAGGGAGGGGCTAAAAACAAATGTCCTTCATGTTTACTGGACAGGCAGAAGGAAAGTTACAAATATTTGTCCTGCCTCCCCCCCCCCCCCGGCTGCCTACCATGGTGACTCGGGCACCTAACTCAATAGAGAAACATTTCAACTACTGTGACCAAACAAATATAGCACAGTTTGCAAAACAGATTACCCAGGAATGCTTAATAAAGTTTTTGCAAAGCTCGTTATGTTTTATATTTTAATTAATTTTAAGAGGTAGAAATTAAATTGGGGCTTGTGCTCAGCGGTTCAAAAATCGTTCCTGAATGAAGCTGGAGCATCTGTCCTACTGAGGAGCTGCTTGCCCAGGTTCTGTGATTCATACGGGATCTTTTCACGCTGGTATATGTTCCAAGTAACGTAATGCCTTCCTTTCTTCAACTTCCCGTTTGTTAACATGAACACAAGTACTAACATGTCACTGATGTGGTCCCCTGACCAGCAGCATCAGCACCTCACGCAGCCACCTCCACCCCAACCACGAACCCTGGCGGGGGGGGCCCACCTGATTCTGACTGGGCTTGTGTTGGAGACCCGCCGTCAGGAGGAATACACAACCACCACTGCATGCCCAGAACCATCAAGTAAGGCAGGGCGAGAGTCTTAAAATGTCGTCCACCACTGAACACTCACCCAAAATATATTCCTAATATCAAACCTTCCTACATATTTGGTCACCTCTGTGTTCAGTGTTACCTAATTCCAGTTACATCCTTTTAGTGAGGAAAGGATCAGTACATTTTAATCCATTAATTCTTCGGCCAGGACGTATTTTATAGGACAGGAAGGCTGCTTCTCTACGAAGCATACCAGTCAAAATAATGTTTAGAAAACACAAACTTCAAGTTAATTAACTCACACTTCATTAAGCGCTCGGCAACATTAAGAAAACCCATCCCGAGATAAAAACGTAAAATACACATACTGTCTAGTTTTTAGCTCTATTCAGATTTATTAGGTCCTGCACGTCTTTGGAGGGCACGTTTGCACGCACGGGGGCCCTAGTGGCGAAGTGTTCATAGTGGCTCCTCACCTTGAGGGGTCTGTGCGGCCACTCGCTTCGCCTTCACTTGGATCCCTCAAAACAAAGTGGAGGTTGAGATTTAATGATAAGAGTGAAAAGTATACCAAGAAAACCTACATCTAAAATGATGTTAAAGTTAACGTGTTAAGCAAACTTCTAACACGACACTTTTCTGTTACTAGTCAGTCTGACACTGCTTCGCACGTTTTCATTGTAACCAGCTTAACTGTCATTTTATTGAGCGTCTACTGGGTCTTGTCAGAGAGGAGATGCTAGGTTGACGGTTTAGGATTTTTTTTTTTTTTTTTTAAACAGGATCTTCCAATTCCCAGTCATAATTTCAAAGTCAGAATTTATCTTTTGATTGAGTTTAGTTCAATCTACAGTTAAAACTATTTAATAATTTTCAGCAGCAAGATCCAACTTCGTATGTTATTAAATGTAATTCTAGTAGTCGCTCAATTTAGAAAATACATAACCTTGTCATTAGAAATAAAGTTCAACATATACAAGTGTTTCTAAAAATAAGTACCAATTTTTAAATAAGCAATTAACTTCAGATGTAACACTAACGATTCATGCACATGATAAAATGTTACAGCACACCAACAACCTATCCAAGCAGGTGAGTCTAAAAACATGAAATCAATCTTAAGCAGAAACATTGATCTTACCTGGACATCCACCTGTGAAATAAAACCAGGAAACCTCTACTAATTGTCCTTCTGTTGAACGTCATTAATATTTTTTAAGTCTACCAAAATCTTAACTACTTCGTCATTTTTCAAATGTAATTAAATATTGACACAGAGCACCAAGTTATAAACCAGCTTAACTGCATTAAGAAATGGCATGTGAGAGCAAAATACTATTAAATCGCTGGGAAAAAATAACCAACTCAAACGCTGAAGTTAATGTTTTCTTAATGTTCTAACCATTCCAGAAACATTCATGTTATTTATGTAAAGTGAATGCAATGGGAATAAAATCAGGGCCACTCTCCTCACTCCCCAAATTAACGAAACACATCCATACACTGAGCTCTACAACCTGACTGGAGGTAAGAAATATGAATGCCTTCTGCATCTTAGGGTCTTTAACTAGAGGCCTTTCGGGACAAACATGTTGTGTAAAGACCATTTTCCTCTCTGAATCAAAAAGGACAAATAATATGTATTCTCACATTCAAATGGGGGTTTCTTAATTCTTAAATGGCATTTTCACGGGCAAGTGTAGTAATTCAGTGTCATCTACACGAACCTATCTTTGTGACAGCACGCGGCCATAAATAAGACACGGACACGGACACGGACACCGTGAGGCCTGTGCGGCTCTGCCGACGTCCCGGAGGGCAGCCCGTCCGTGGGAAGGAAGGCCGGTAAGGCTGCTACTTCAACAGAAAGGGGCGTGCGTCTCCCAGGGCTTCTCTGTCCCATTTCTGTTTTGCCGTCTAAGTCGCTGTTAGCAGATACCTTAAGCACTAGGAACGAGACGCTCCCTAAGCTCTACTTCTGCTCTCGCTGTTGAAATAGCCACTGACTCGCCACGTCGTCCCCATGCCCCGTTCCTGCCCTCCCGGACGCCCACAGAAGCAGCGACTTGAAGAACGTCTGCTGCCTGGCACTGGTTTCAAACAGTCCAGCAGCCACGGAGGGAGGCAGCTGGGGAGAGAGAGCCCGCTGGCTGTCACAGCACATGCAGGCTGGCAGGGCTCCCCAACACTCAACACTTAAAAATCAAAACCATGGGGCGCCTGGGTGGCTCAGGCATTAAGCGTCTGCCTTCGGCTCAGGTCATGATCCCAGGGTCCTGGGATCGAGCCCCGCGTCGCGCTCCCTGCTCCGCGGGAAGCCTGCTTCTCCCTCTCCCACTCCCCCTGCTTGTGTTCCCTCTCTCGCTGTGTCTCTCTCTGTCAAATAAATAAAATCTTTTAAAACAAAACAAAACAAAAAACGGCCACATATCTTATGCACAGCAATATACACTGAAGTGAACTAATCCGGTTATCCCCTAATAAGAGCGAGCTATGTTTAAAAAATCCTAAGGTCTGAGACAATCTCCAGTTGATACAGTAGTTCTATAGAACCATCCAAAGCAAACGGTTCTCCATGCTATTTAAAAGGCTTTTATTTTTTTTAAAGGCTTTTGAAATGGTATGTCTACACCCTCCCTTGATAGAGAACTCTAGTGTAAATCACTTTCCTAATTGGAAAGTTCTTTCCTAAGACCAGAAAACAACTCTCTCACGTGGTCATTTCAGCATACAGCCTTTCTACTGGCCAAGGAGAACTTACTAACTGGCTTCCTCTTTGTAATAATGGTTTTCCAGTACATGAATGATTAACTCCGAATTATTCTTTATCCTTCCCTTCTTAAAGTTTAACAACCCAAATTCTTTTACTTTTTTCCCTATAACATCCTATCTTTTCCTCTTTTTAAGCATTTAGTGGCACATCAACTCAGTTGGTTCTAAAGTTGATGGGATGTCAGGGCGCCTGCCCCAGAGCATTCCTGGAGGCGGCGCTGGTCACTCGGGGTGCCAGTGTGGGGGTTCCATTTCTTCAGGTGTGAGGCACGGTGCAGTGAGGAAGGCAAAGGGAACAGACAGAAAGGCAGGGCTTGAACCCAGGATGGGCTTAAGAAGAGATCAGTGGGAAGGATGGACAATCTGGGAACTGAGGTGAGAAGAGAATAAATAGTAAGGCTGGAATAGCTCTTGAACATCAAGAAATTCTCCCAGTTCTCTCCAAGCCTCCAACCCTCCCGAAAGTTCAATATGCCGAACATCCGGGAAGACCCCCTGCACTTCCCGTCTGTCGGCTGCTAAGAACTTAGCAGGTTCATTCCTGATATGGAAGCCAGCGCTTTGCTTGTCTTCCTGCATTGGGGCGTTTGTGGTATCCTACACAACCCCCTCTCCAGCTACACGATGCTGCGTAAGGGAAGACTGTGTGCATGGCAGTGAGCACACACACCTGTAAAGCCAAAGCTGTTCATGTGGTGACAGGTGACCTCGGAGGAGAACTGTGAATTGTTTCTCTTCTCTAACCAAACCCAGAATTAATTAAAATATGTTAAAAATTAAAAGACATTAAAAAAATCCTACCAAATTGCTGACAAAGGATGGCAACCTCCTCTCTGCCTTCTTCTGCCCCCAAAACTCTCTATGAAATGACATTGTTCAGAAGTTAATAAAGGCATTGTGGACCTTTAGAAATGTTCATGTTGGCTCCCCTCAGAGGCCAGCTCAGAACACCCTTAACGCCCAGAGTACTTTCTATCTCAGGGCCTGCTCCCTTCAGAGCACTTACCAGGATTTATTATAACCTTATGTGTTTGCTTTTTTTTTTTTTTTTAAAGATTTTATTTATTTATTTGAGAGAGAGAATGAGAGAGAGCAAGCACATGAGAGGGGAGAGGGTCAGAGGGAGAAGCAGACTCCCCGCCGAGCAGGGAGCCCGATGTGGGACTCGATCCAGGGACTCCAGGATCATGACCTGAGCCGAAGGCAGTCGCCTAACCAACTGAGCCACCCAGGCGCCCCTATGTGTTTGCTTTTAAAATCTGTCTTCCACACTATTCAACCATTCATTCCATAAATGTCTGAATGTCATACGTGTCATTGCAGACACTCAATATTTAGCAGAAGATTTAGCAGAGAACAAACAGGTAAAGCGGGGGGGGGGGGGGGCGGTTCTTTCAGGTAGTGTTAGGTGCTATGGAGAAAAACAAAGCAGGGAGAGGGCGTGCTGGAGAGGCTCTGATCTCACACAGGTGACGGAGGAAGGGACACTCCCACAAAGACACAAAGGAGATGCAGAAGAAGTCAGTCGTGTGGGAGTGGGGGAAGGAACTGCGAACACAAAGCCCCGCACTGCAGGCCCAGTGTGCGCGAGGACACTCAGCTGCCCCGTGTGGCCCGCGTGCGACCGGCAAGGGGCAGGGGGAGAAGATGAGGTCAGAGCAGAAATGAGCGGCCAGAGCACGTGGGGCCGCAGAGGCCATTGTGCAGGCTTCGAATTGTATCCCGAGCAGGATAAAAGCAAGCAGAAGGCTTTCAAGCACGGACAGACACTGCTGAGCACAGAAGAGGACAAGGGCAGAAGTGAGGAGACCCGTTAGCAGGTGGAAGACAAGCAGTGGGTTTGGTGACAGAGGCTGCGGTGGGGGTGACAGAAGAAGTTACGTCCGGGAGATGCTGGGAAGGCAGAGCCAACGCCACAGGCCAGCAGGAAGGTGTCGCCATTACCTAATGCGGTGAACAATGAGGGAGGACTGGTGTCTGGGGGTGGGCAGTGGGGAGCTGGATTTTGGACACGGTCTGTCCGGAAGTCTATGACACAGCCGCGTGGAGAGGCTGTGTAGACAACTGGCTATGTGAGTCTCTAGTTCAGAGGCAAGATCTGGGCTAAGGACATATGTCTGGGAGTTGTTAAAGTAAGATGAATGTAAGGTCATCGGTCTGAATGAGATCAGCAAGAGAGTGAGGACAGCCAGAGAAGAGAAAGTTCGAGCCAAAGCTCGAGCCCTGGGGCAGTCTGACACTTAGGGGTGGGGGCTGGGGGGGCGAAGGGAACCTGAAAAGAACCAGCAAAATGGCCTGAGATGGAACTGTTAGTTTGAGGGGTAGGAGGACGACCAAAAGCCAAGCGAGCAAAATGTTTCAACGGTGTGCCATGCTGCGCAGGACGTGCTCCTAGGAAGGGGGCTCCATCCGTCTCCCTCACGGCCGGATCGACGGCACCAGGACAGCGCCCAGCAAGCAGTAGGTCCTCACAGATTTGTTACATGGCCCTATGGCCATCCTCCATCCCAGGCTCCCAACAGACTTTCTCCATGCCACGTTCTCGCTCTGACATTCTGTCCTGACCTCTTGTCCAGGGCTCTTGACTATGCTCCCTCTAGAATCTACATTTTCATTGCAAAGTAAAGAGAAATATGTTATATGCTGCTTAATGTACAATTAGTAATCAAGCTTTTAAACTCAAAACCATTTTCCTTCACTTCAAAATTAATCCTGGCTTCACCATGATTAATTAATCCTGGCCTATCAAAAGGGCTTTGAATAGTCAGCCAAATTCCACCCAGCAAAAACTACTGCTATCTAACCAGGACCCTGCAGATGGTCAGAGAGCACTACCTGTCATGCTGACTCTGCTGTGAGCTTCCGGCTCTTTCTCTCTCCAGGTGTCATATGCTGCATGGTCGCTGCCCAAATGGTACAACATCATGGTTAGAAACTGATGCTGCACTTGAGTAAAGTTTTAAATTCTGGGTGATCCCGCGTAAACTGGTCCATGAACAGCTCCAAGAAAAGGCAAGAGACTAGAGCGGCTGCTTCTCTTTTCTGCATCCACTCTTTGAAATCCTAGGAACACTAATAACCTGGGCAATTATTTAATTAATATTTTTTAAAGCATGTGTAATAATTTCCTCCTTGTAATTTCTTACCTGCTCAAACAACTCTATGCTATGGAGCTTTAGCCGCTCCCCCCACCCGTGGACAGCTGTGCCTTCCTCTGGCCTCCCCCGCATGCTGTCTCTGCAGCATGCCTTGTGCTTTCTACCACAGTCGGCTGCATACACGTGTGCCCCTTTCAGGACTTGAGGGTCTGGAGCGCACAGATGCGGTCTTATTCATCTTTGTGTCCTGCTTGGCACCTAGCACAGGGCTTTGCACGTATAGGATTTTGCAGGCTTTTAGGAGGACCTGATAATAGATCAAATGGATATTTACCTGCGTTGTGTTCAGCAATTCTATCATCAATGTTTAAGCTTACTTTTGAGAAAAGAGCACAATTCTATTTGATTAGAAGTTAACTATACTTGTATTCATTTTGTGTTTGCTGTGTTTTGATGTTAAGCTTCTATGATGTTAAATTACATTAAGTAATCTATGTGACTCCAATACAGAGGCTTTTCACGAGAAAGGAAAAAAAAGGGTAAACTATATATTATTAGTGAACAGTTCAGAAGTATTGCTAAAAAAATATTACTTCAAGGATAAATGGAAAGTCACTATTTCCTTTTTTAAAAAATCAAGGCTTTTGGGTAGGGGATAATCTGTTTGTTAAAACACACATTTTTTACGTCAACTTTTCCTCTTTCCACTCTATTTTACAGAATTTAACAATTCTTATCTTGCCCATTTTTTTCTCTCTCTTAGGGAAAAATACTTCATGTCTTCCTTGATTTTCTTCTTCAAACTTCTGTAAAATGCCTTGAAACCATTTTGGAAAATCACCCCAAAGGTGAAAGAAAAAACACCAAGTCTCCTTCGTAATTCCTGGAGGAAACAAAGCACCACGGCTCATTGGTACTGACCTGCGAACGAATTTGGATGTTATTTTGCTTATTATACCGGTTGACGTTCCCCTCCTGGCGTGTGCGAACGCGCCCGCTTCGTGGGAAGGAGAGGCGGGCGGCCCGTTGTAAGCGGCGCTGCGGCGCTCCCGGAGCTGCTCGCCGTGGAAGGTGCTGCGGCTGGAGCTCCCCCGGGGGAAGCGGGTGCGGTCCGGAGTGGAGGCGCTAATACTGTGAGCAGACGGGGAGGCAGCGGGCGCCCTCTGCGCTGCGCTGTTGGGACAATCAAGAAACGTTATTGAGAAGAATGACAGAGAAAGCTTCCACTCATTCTAAAAACTACCAAAGCAAGACAAAACAAAAAATAAGAACTACCAAATGCCATGGCTACCTTTCCTAGGCCCTATTTTACCCGCTCCCATTAGAGATGCATGCGGGTAACTGTTATTTAAGGGATCACTGTATGGAGAGGGATAACATTTCCGTTCAGAACTAAATGCCTTTTACAGAAATACAGTTATTAAAGAGTAAGAAGTTATTGAAACAGGGATACAAACACTCTTCGGAATCAGGAATGCCAAACTGGGGGTGCTACATATATATTTTTTACTATTCTCTTACTTTAAGCCATTCAGCAATGTGGAACATGAATGTTGTTATTCATCAAAAAGCATCTGAATGGAACCATTGCGTATTTACAACGTAGGCCTCAGGGACAGCACGATACTCCGTGACACCACTGATGTGAGTAATAAACCTTTCACTAAAGATGCTTCTGAATTTGAGAAATCCTAACATAGACAAATACTGGAAAAATGGGCATATCACTTTAAACCTAAAAGGGTTCTTCAAGATCATCTGTTTCCCTGATAGAGAAATGAAAAGGCCAATTTCATTAAAAAAAAAAAAAAAAAAAAGTAACTGGCAGTAGCCAGGGTTACCCAAAGGTCTCCATTCCCAGTCTCATGTATTTTTGTTTTCACACCATAAAAAATTCAATTTACCTGAATGACAAATTGGGCAGCAATCCTTTATGGATGGGTTTAAAACAAAATCCTTACAGAAAATTCCATTAGAAAATGATTTAAATCATAGGCAACATTTTTGAAAACAGGCAGGGTGTGGTGTGTTTATGTTACAATTCAACTTTTCCCTCTGCTACAGACACTGAATCTTCTCAGAAAGCTCTCGATGTGATGGTGCTTATCATGTATTTTTATATGGTGCTATGTTCTTAAATGAAATGCACCCAGCACGTTACCCGGGCCGGTAAGCTTCAGAGCCGTCTTTAATGGTTGGCAGTGTAACTTTAATAGGATGGCCAGAAGTGGACATGGACTTCTGGTGGCGGGGTCGTGCTGAGGGGACAGCAGAAGCCACAGCAGAGCCTGCAGAAGATATGCTACTTGCGGACATCTCCGTAAGGCTTTCGACAGAAAACAGTTGAGAAGACCATAGAAATGTAAAAGAGAAGAGAAATTGCAGTTTACTAAAATTTAAGAAATAGATTTTTAAAATCTAAATTGACTACACCTTTTATGACTGAGACACTTAAGAGAAATTAACATTAGTGGCATTATTAGTGACTAACAAACCAATATTCTTGCCAAAAAATGTACAGAGTGAATTTACCACCACCTTCCATGGAAAAGATCCCACACACGCTTGCTCTATAAATGTGAATCTGAGAAGGTATGAAATTACTTTTACGATCGGAGACCTTTTTCACTTTCCAAAAGACAAAGTTTGGTGTAATGTGTTGCTGTGGTTTATTGTCCCTTATACAGTAAAAATGCATAATTACGACAAAGATACTGTCTCTGGAAACATCATCAAGACACTTTCAGTTCGTATTATTAATCAATCGGTTAACTGTCATAGGTTAAAGGAGCTGCAGATCAGGAGTTGGTATAGGAAAAGTAATAAAGTCAGAAATCAATTCCCAAGTCTTCTTCTAGCCTAAAGGATCTTATGTCCGAGGAAGATACATTTACCTCCGTACGCCTTATAATAACACTTACTTTGCGTGTCCATTATTTGGGAGGGAACAAATGCTAAGCACAGTCTGTCTGGTCCACTGACATGACGAGGGATGGAGCTAAGAACAGAATTTCATGAGAACAGGCTCCCTGCCCTTTTGTACTATATTGATGAAGAGCCCTTAGAACTCACGATGAAAAGAAGCTAAATTTTTTAAATAATAAAAATAAAATGATTTGTCATTATTTAAAATAAAACATGTTGAGAATTCCATGGTTCTCAATGATCAGTTAAGACGGCCACATTTCTTTAGACGAAGGAAAATAAAACCTTCATGGTTTGGATACAATAATGGCTTGATGGGAGGGGTAAGGGTAAGAAGTGAAGGCTAACTAAAAAAAGTGAAGTAAAAGATAAAAAGGAAGCAGCAGGTATATAATAAGACTCAAATTAAGAAGATCAGATTAGGAAGGTATAACCTGCTTTGTTTGTTACAGGGAAATATTTACTAGCAGGTCTTATGTAGCAGTTCTTGGGTTAAGAGATTTACCTCCTGTTTTCCCAAAGCACGCTCCCATCCTTCCATTCTGGTGCAGAAGGGGAGATGCCCTAGTAAGAACGGTTGGTTGCAACTGTACCCTCTAGTAGTCCCTTTGCTCTTGACCCATCGGCTACAGGTGTTCCAGCCAGAGCAGTAACGCACGACGCCAAGGAAGCGGGCACCACGGGGCGCGGTGACACTCACCTGCTGTCTTTGCCATTCTGCAACGCCACGTACCGATCTGCGGTCCTCTCGCACACATACGTGTTCCTTCTTGCCATGCTGCCTCCAGGATATACATTGCTCTTTAAGGAGGAAAAAAAACCCATCTTAAAATTCCGGCTGTAGTTGTGGAAAGTCAAAGAAATGAATTTAAGCTGCAAAGGACTTTAAAAAAAAAAAATCCATGGTGGAATTTTCATTTATCAGACCTTACATGAACAAGCTCCATCTCACATGTCCGTCTCTCAGTTAGACGGCAGAAGTGACAGGCAAAGCATGACAAGCTCATGACAGTTTTAGCTTGTTGTCCTGCAGCCGCAGTGAGCCGTTGTTTGGAAGCAACGAGAAAGCCGGGTTTTTATTCCCTCCTCTGCAAGTGGGCGTAGGGAGAAGGGCAGGGGAGTGGTACGGGCAGCTCTGCGGGACCAGGAGCGAGAGGCAACTCCACAAGAAATGGGATCACAGACCAGCAAGCTGTGGTGGTGACGGTGGTGGCCCTGCAGGCCTGCAGGCTGCTATTCTTCACCTGCTCAGGGAACCCCCAGGGCCCGTGGTGATGTTAAGGAGACCAAGTCTCCTGGGTCGGAGGCAGGCCCTGCTGTGGCCACCAACAGAGGGGTGTGCAGGGCCTCAGGATATCCCCGCATTGCAGGTCTTAGCCCGGAGGCAAGCCAAGTCTGAGCGGCTCCGGAGCAAAGAGAACAAGCAAAGAGGGACGGCTTCGCCTCATCACGCACACAGCCACTGATCCGTAACCTCTGCTGTGTGCCCGCCAAAGTCTGGACTCGTTATGAGTACTAAACTATGCAGGAATGACTTCCAAAGGAATACATGCTCTTCTGTTGAATCCTTACTCCAATAGAAAAAAAATTCTTTATTTTTGGCTAATCCGGCTTTCACTGTTCTCTAAAATCCATAACTAACTTAAACTTTGTTTAAAAGTAAGAGCTAGAAAGTTAATAGGTATATGTCTCAACTAAGTTTGGAGGAGCAAAAAAGCCGCATATAAACAAAATTGCTTAAGTGCAGATTTCAAACTTTTCAACGGCACAGGTTCCTGGGTGGAAGGAATTTTGTCACGATTTACATAAAAAACACAAATTAAAAACTATAAAAGTATGGTAGCAGAAGAGAATAAGATTACTAAGAACATTTTTTAGGTAAGACACTGTCCATGTTAAGTGAAGGCAAAGAAGCCGGTTTCATTATGGAGAGATCCATTATGAAACTAGCTTGCATTAAGTTCTTAAAGAACCTTTACTTTTGATAATTTCATCGTTTTGGCTAAACTGTCATATAAGTAATCTAACCGTGAACAAATTCCTGGTCAATTCTTTCTGGTCATTTGCAGTAACACTACTTTGCTTCTCAAAGTGTGACGGGTGTGACCGGTTTCTCCTTCAAGACTATGCCTTCTGGGTTTGCCGTCCTCACGCGCCACCTCCCTTCCCTTGTCCCCTGGATGCCAGTGATACTCAGGTGGAGCAGCCCCCCAGGGAAACTGAGGATACGATCATGCAAAAGTTAGAGAAATACAGTCTCACTGATCCTATGTGACCGACATGCATCTATAAAATTAATTTTTAGAATTGACCTTCAGTGAGGCTCTGTCTGTTTAGGATTTGGGGACTAGATCTAAAACCACCCTTGCAGACCCCTGAACTCTCAGCTTGGCAACTTCCCTAAAGTGGCTATACACGTTTTTCTATATTTTCCAAGAAACCAAGCCTGTGCAGACAACTTCTCTGGGCCTATTTCATACTAAAGTGCTTGTATTTTATATAATTACACTATAATTTTTATGAAAATGTTTTATATTATAATCATTATAGCATTCTCAGCCTTTCTGAGTCTCCCTGAAAGCCGAATCTCCTTCCCCTTGTTTTCTTAAAAAAGATGATTGACAGTATTTTTTACAGGATGCAAAATTTTATATTTTGTATTATTTATATATGTGATAAATAATATTGAAAAACAAATTTACAAGTTTTATTGTCTTTTTGATGAAAGAATAGCATAACATATTTGCATCTTCAAAACTCACCATTTGGCTTCCGAGTTTCTAGGCTAGCCAAAAGCTTACCATTAACTGCTACATGCAAAATTTCTGGAGGGGAATTTCTTAAAGGGAAAAATATTAAGTTTGTTCTTCCTGCATATTACACTTCCATCATTTAGAGTCTGTAATGTTGTAGGGTGAGAACAATAAAACAGATGATTCCAATCACCAACAAATTTCACCAACCATTATATCTATTTAACTACTTAGCCTCAGAACTCCCCCCACTGCCAATATCACCCTAAAGTCATATGGTAGACTCACGTTAAGTCATACTGTCAAGAGAATCATACTTATAAGAGCTTTTACTATTGGTTTAAAAAAGCTCCTGATTTTATAAACATTAAGAACACTATTAAACTATATCACCTACTAAATTATCTATGCATCTCAAGGGTATCGTTTATTTTTCCATCAGAAAGTAAAAAGCCATCAGAGGGGAGGTGGGTGGGGGGATGGGTTAAATAGGTGATGGGGATTAAGGGGGGCACTTGTGATGAGCACCAGCTGTCATGTGGAAGTGCTGAATCACTCTATTGTACACCCAAAACTAACGGTACACTACACTGTATGAAAACTAAATGGGATTTAAATAAAAACTTAAAAAAAAAAAGTGAAAAGCCATGTCATGTCATTTGAGTGGATTACATATTTTCTATTGTACTTCACTTATAGACAAATAATGGAGTCACTGGTAAAATGTTTATTTTTCCAAATAATATTTTATAATATCACAGAGCCTGGATTATAAATGCTCAAGTTCCTTCCTTCTGGACATTACCTCAAAGAAAAGGGATTAAAGCTGTCTATTTGGCTTTTGTAGTTTGGGGTCAGCACACTTTTTCTGTGAGGAGTCATGTGACTGTCATTTTATGCTCTGCAGGCCACACCATCAATGTCACCCGTAGTCTGGGAAATGCAAATTAAAAACAAAAGGATATACTTTTTTGTTTTTTTGCCCCTCAGGCAAAGATTTTTAAAGATCGATAAGATCAAAAAAAAAAAAAAAAGATCGATAATATCCAGTGGTTGATGAGCTTGTAGAGATATAATTACTCTCTAATTATTCCAACCACTAAAATTACCCTGGCAGTATTTATTAAAAATTTAAATGTGCATATTCCAAGGATACACACACAGCCAGGAGCGTCCATTAGCACACATTAGCACTGGGGCTCTGGAGGGGGGATGGGAGTGAGGAGGGAGGCTTACACACGCGTGGGTACCACATGCTACGAGAAACTGAGGAGTGGGATGAGCCACCTGAGGTTAAACATGTCACCCAGAAACCAAACTTCTGAGAGTGTATTTCACAGAAATGCAATAATAACCTAAGTGTACAAGAATGAATATTCTGAAAAGCTGAAAACTCTGAATACCCCGACAAACAGTTGAAAAATTATGACACGTGTCTATTAATACAGATGAAATAACGTGCAGGTCTTAAGACTGTAGCAGATCTAAGAGTTCTGATGTAAAAGGACAAAATAGTATTTTAAGTTAGAAAAATTACAATGTAACAGGTATAGTATGATCTCATTTTTATAAAAAAATAAACCCTGTATGGACATATATATTCATTTATGTTTTCTTTAAAAAGGAGACTCTATAAGGTAATTCATCCCAAATGATAACACTAATTATACTAGAAGTTGAGGATAGAAGGTAAGGGATGAGAAAGGGTAAACAATTAATTTTACTTGAAACACTTTTTTTTAAATTTAAAGATTTTATTTTTTTATTTATTTGAGAGCGAGAGAGACAGAAACAGCATGAGAGGGAAGAGGGTCAGAGGGAGAAGCAGGCTCCCCGCTGAGCCGGGAGCCCGATGTGGGACTCGATCCCAGGATTCCGGGATCATGACCTGAGCTGAAGGCAGTCGCTTAACCAACTGAGCCACCCAAGCGCCCTACTTGAGACACTTCTGGACTGTTAAAATTAAACATAAACAAGATATATTATTTTGGTTTCTCACATTGTCAAAATTAATATAGAAAATTAAGATAAATTTAGTACTAAGTGGCTCAGAACAAAATTTCTCTACCAGAACTTCTGGCTTATGTCTTTTTTTTTTTTCCTTAAAGATGATAAATACGTGTGGCATGATTAACTGGAATTTAAACCAATGTCTTAGTTTTTATGCCTTCTTTAAATTAATAAATATGCTCGGAATAGCCAGTAAGTGCCTCAGCACTAGTAATTCTGAGGAAGCTGCGTGTCAACTACAAGAGGAGATTATAGATAAGGGGAGATAAGGTTTATGGGGGGAAGCAACAGTGAATGATACAAGACAGCGTACAACTAAGAGCTAAATGACGTAATACAACAATCAGAAAGACTGATGAGATCTGGAGCCTTCAGTCACAGGAGGCTCGACTCAGGAGATGGGGCTTGAAATGATCTGTCGAAATGACATTTTCATAATTTGGGCGGCGGGGGGACCTTCAGACAAGAGCACCACATAAAAACAGGTGTGGAAATAGGCAGCTGAGTATATCCCTGGAAAATAATAAGATCAGCCTGAGATGAAGGACAGCTTGCTACAGCAAGTGGCAGATAATAGGGGACCAAATTCTCTGTTTTGTAGGGTGATCATGCTCCAGAAACTGACCTCTAGCTGATGTTTAGATAAAGGAAAATGATGGCCTGCCTAGGAAAATTACTTTCCCAAATGATATCTTAGACTCTATGACAGTTAAATCATTTCCAAACAGATCAGTTGGCAGCTAAAGGGGTTATACTTACCAGTTCTGAAAATGGGTATGCACACCCATTTCGGAGTCTCGGAGGCGACAATCGAATCACATATTTTAAAAAGATAATGGTTTCAATGAACTACATAAAACAGTGGGTGCTCGGGAGTTTAAATCACTTGCAGTTAAGGTTGTGTTAGGCCTTCTGGTATTTTTTTCCTTCTCTTTTCCTACTTTCCATAGACTCAATCCATTTTTTTTCTTCTGTTGGTTTAAAAGTTATAAATTCTATTTTTATTCTTACGTTGTTAGCCCTTAAGTCCCTGAACTCATGTTTGCTTAGCACTAGTGAGTTTTTAAACTTACCCAGATCCTCCCATCTTCTGCTGAACAAAAGCATGGGCTCTTCTTCCTTTAACCTCCACCCCATCCCTACTTCCTGGATAGTGTCCAGAACATTGGTTCTGAATTTTCATTATTTTTTGTGTGTGTGTATGCTACCATATACATACCTGAATAAGTTATCTGATCACTTTCAACTCCATATATTTTATGGCACTACTCCAGATCCATTTCTCTTCCTGTAAGAGTGCAGTGCTCCTCAAACCATACAGTGGTAACAAATGGGTCCCTATGTAACAAGACTGGACATATTTTATGCCTAAGAGTATGCTTATTATACCTTCACATTTAAATGACAATTAGGCGAGATATAAAATTCTGGGTTCAATGTGATTTTCTTTTAGTACTTAAAAAATACTGTTCCACTTATCTCCCTTAATCCATGCTACTGTTGAGAAATTTGAGGTCAGTTTGAATTTTGTTCCTGTTCAGGTCATCTGCTGTCATATCCTGGACATTTTTTAGAAGTTTTCACTTTGTTTTTGGTGTGTATATGTTCCACTTTAATGAGAGCAGAAGTAGGTTTTCCTTCTGGCTTTCTGAGTCTTACTTACTTACTTACTTACTTACTTATTTATTTATTTGAAAGAGTGAGTGAGTGGGGGCGGGTAGGGGCAGAGAGAGAGAGAATCTCAAGCAGACTCCCTGCTGAGTGCAGAGTCTGACGTGGGGCTCAATCTCACGACCCTAAGACCATGACCTGAGCCGAAATCAAGACTTGATGCTTACCAACTGAGCCATTCACATGCCCCTCTGAATCTTTCTAAGTTTTTTCTTCTTTCCTTGTTATTATTTCTTCAAATATTTCTTCCCCTTCATTCTGTGCCCTTTCCCTTCTAAACTTCTATTATCTAGATGTTTCCAATTCTACTTCTATCCTTAGTATATTTTAGTCTTTTCTTTTATATTTTCTCTTTATTCTTTCCTGCTGTCTTACAAGAGAAGGCTTCAATCTATCTTCTAGCTCCGATTATATAATTTCTACAATTTGCTGTTTTTTTTTGTTTTTGTGTTTAAGATTTATTTATAATTTGAGAGAGAGAGAGCGTGCTCATGAGCAGGAGAAGGGGCAGAAGCAGAGGGAGAGGGAGAAGCAGACTCCCCACTGAGCAGGGAGCCCGATGTGGGGCTTGATCCCGGGACTCCGGGATCATGATCTGAGCTGAAATCAAGAGTCGGGATGCTCAACCGACTGAACCACCTAGGCGCCCCTACAGATTTGCTGTTTTAAGTGAATAATGTGAGCTCACTTTATAAATTAATCATTAATGGAGTCTGCCTTCATTGAACCGCTTACCTGTAAATATAAAATTAAGTGCACCAATATAGTTTTAAGTAAATATTAGAAACAGGAAAAATGAGGCAGGAAAGTTTAATGTACCATTTTTATAGTGAGGTTTTTAAATCTTACTTTGAGGTAAGTGTTATTTTAAGAATTCATATTTTATATTTTTGTTCTTAAAACGTAATCATGAGAAGCTTGGCCTCCTTTGCATGTTATTTAAATGTATGACTCACTTTAAAATTTTGAAACGTGTTTTTAGAAAAGGATAAAGTTTTCCAAAGATTGTACAAAAAAAATCTGAAAACAAATAACCACAACAAACTGTGATATACTGGAATATTTACTCACACTTGGAATAGTTGAAGATTTTTTCCTTTCTGGCCCCACAAGAGGGCTTGCAGTCATCTCACTTTTTGATCCAACCGTTGTGCTGCCAAGTTTACGAGCTAGGTCTTTGTCCCACTCCTCTTTCTGCTCACTTTCCACACTGTTAGCCTGAGGCCTTTTGGTATATGATACGGCAGGGGGAATGGATGGACCAGCTATAATAAAATTAAAGAGCATAATTAGGTGAAAATCAACTGACACAGTTTCTCCTGACGAACCAAAACTCTAAATTACAAATATCTTTATTTGCGTATTTTATACTCGGAACTAACATTAAACTGTTTGATTACAAAAATTAGGTTAGTCCCTGAAAAGTGGATTTAATATTAATCATGCAATAATATAGATCTGTGATAACAGATGACACAAGCACATAAAGACATGAATGTATAATGCTCAGTAAATACAAGTTTGAGTAGGACTGGTCTGTCTTTTCACTTGTTTGACTTTTCCCCCACCATGATCACTGAAACGCCGCTGCTTCTGGTTTGCGGAGATGCTCCGCTGGACCTTCAGGTGAGCAGGGGACTGAAGGCTGCTGTTGTTCAGGTCACTGCTGGGCCGTGACCTCTGACACAAGCTTCCGCTGGACAACGATTCACCGCCTTCAAACTATAAGAAGAAGATAGCGCACAAAGATTTCATTTATTTATCTGAGAGAGAGGCAGTGAGTGAAAGCGAGCACGAGTGGGGGGCGAGGGGCAGAGAGAAAGGGAAAAGCAGACTCCCCGCTGAGCAGGGAGCCCAGTCCCAGGACCCTGGCATCATGACCTGAGCAGAAGGCCGGTGCTTAACTGACTGAGCCAGCCAGGCACCCCTGCACAAAGATTTTAAAATAAAAATGTTTATGCAAACAATATGCACTATTGATTGATGTTCTAATCTATTCCAAGCCATATAAAGAGTAATCAGAACTGAAGAAAAAAAAAAGTTCGGATACAGAACCGCAAGCTGGCGACCAGGGAGGGAGGGAACCGGCTATGTGCTTCCATGAGCGCGCGCGCTCTTCTGTGATCTCGCACAGATGGCTTTGGAGCCTTAGTTTAGTCAAAACACCAAACAACAGCTACCAATTATTGAATGGTTATTATATAACCGGCACCCCTGCTAAGGAAGCTCTTCCTATGTGTTACTTTGTTCAGTCATGACAGCAATGCAGCTGTTTATTAACCTCGACTTCAGAGATGGAAGGACCGCGGTTAAGAGAATCAAGGGACATCTCTGGGATTCAAACTCAGGATAAAATCTAAAATTGTAACTCCACACACACCTTTTCTTTCTACCATATTTACAGAGCAAAATGTGGTTTATTGGCTCTGATTAAGAAACTGCATCTATTTAGACAAGCATGGTAAATTGGGGGTTCACTATCCCTCTCCTCGAAACACAGAAGATGTTTGTTGCTGGCAAGCTTCTCACTCAATCACTGGCTTCCCAATGGAAAATCTAAATTCATATGTAAAGATACTAATGGCAAACAGCAAAGTAATACTGATGATGAAACCGGTTACAGATCACACAGAACACACAGCAATGTGCCAGGAACTGTTCTAAGCACTGTGGAAATATTAACTCATTTAACCCTCTCGGTGACCCGCAGAGCTAAGTACTATTTACTGTCCCCATTTCATGCACCAGGGATCTGAAGCACAGAGAAATTAAGGCAAGTGCCTAAGCTGCACAGTCAGTGGCTGTGCTGGGGTGGAGGAGGGGTGCGGATTCAAACCCGGTGAATCGGCTCCAAAGTTCAGGCTCTTACTTAGAAGAGCCTCATTAGTTCATACTCAATACAAGTCAAACTTCATTTTAATTCAAGTCTGGGCTGGGTGTATACTTGTAATGCTAGGGCTTCCTTTATATTTAAATTAATAGGAAAATTAAAGATCTCGGGAGTGAAATCTAAAGGCTAAGTAGAAACAGGTCAAAGACTTCAGAAATAACCATTTGTACTATTTCCCACTTCCTAAAATTCTCTTGATTTGGCTTCTTTGATGCCCCTTCTCCAACTATTAATGCCTCCACCGAGGTTCCCCTCCTCCTCGTAGGGCCCGCGAGGTGAGATGGGCTCCTCCGGTGAAGTCCTTAGAAGAGCTGCTGGTGCATTAATGGGGTGCTCCTCTCACCACAGCTCCCAACCTATTGATGCTGCCCGAGTCACTCCCTCCAAGCCAAATCTGTGTCTCCAAACGTCTCCTGAACAACTCCGCCCAACACGAATCTCAAGTTCAACCATCCCAAATAGAACGAAGTCCCCACCTTCCCCTTGAAATCACACTCTCTCCATATCCTGGCAAATACATCTTACAAAACCAGTCACTTATGCTGGAAAGCTGAGGGTCTCTCACATCCTCATTTCCAACGGGTTACCATGGCCTGTTACATCTAGCTGCTGTGGGTGCCTGTCCTCCTGTGTGTCCCAGAGTCCCTGTGCCTGTCCTGATCAGGGTGGCAGCACCCTGCACCACACCGCTGACTGCGCATCTCCCCTCCAGACCCAGGGCTCCATGAGAGCACAGACTTGCTCAGCTTCCTGGTCGCAGTACACAGCATAGTTTCCAGGGCAGGAAAGATTCAATAAATGTCAGCTGAATGTACTGCTTCACTAACTATCTAATTAAAAATAATTTCAGTCTATTCTATAAAATGCCTCCCACAGATGTCTAATTGTTAACAAACTGTCCATGTACTCGGCTCTATTCTTGACTCTCGGTTTATACCTTTATATTTGCTCTCCCAAAGGATCATTTGCTTTTGTGGTTCAACCATTATCTGTACACAGTTATTTCCTGAGTCTATCTCCTTATTATACATCTCTCCTGGCCTTGAGAATTCCCAACTGCTAAGCATCAAAACCTCTTGACGTTCTACCAGGCAAAATATCACCAAACAGCCTCTTCCTATTCCCATCTTTTTAAATCACTTCAGATATATGTTTTGTTTTACATGCTGTCCCTTTCTCTGTTTAGGTCACTGTGCTTTCTGCACACCCAGAATGACCACGTTACCTTTGGCAGGCCTGCTGCTTTTGGAGACACAACTCTGGGGGAACTCCTTCTCAAAGACTAGACTGCGTGTGCCTCTCAGAGCTAAGCAAGGCACCTGGTCTGCTCTTTCATAGCAGAATCTCGCCTGGTACTTGGAAATGAAACCAGCTCATAACTTAGCATCTTGAGTTTGAATTCTAAAAGTAAGAATGTTAGGGTCTTTATATTACTTTTGATACCGCACAGAATAAAGGTGCTAACAGCTAACATTTTATCTTAGCTGTCACTTGTCTCAAGAAATAATTAACATTAATCTAAAAAAGTAAAGAACTTACTTCAGGTGGTTTTCTACCTAGAAGAATATAAGTAGCCATAACTTCATCGTATTTCTGATTTATTAAGGCGTCATTTATCTCATCTCGTGCAAAACCCATGGTGACCATGATGTCTAGAAATAAAAAAAAAAGCAAAATTTTCTGAAAATGGGTTTATTTTCGCAAACAAACCAACAACTGTAAGCAAGCCTGCCAACATGAAATATGAAAACTAAATTCTGAAATGTTATAGTATAATGTTAACTATAAAAACTTCTGGATTATTAATATATAGATACTGCATATTTAGATCCTATACATTGACAATTTTTCATGCAGACACTATCCGTACCATGGGATCCATACTCAGGCGCCTAGTCCATTTCTCAGCACCTAACGCATTCCTGAGTTGAATGCCTTTGTCCAGCCAGAGATACACCATCTGTGACACCCACAAAATCCCTTCTCTTTTTCTCTATCTCTTAACACACTCTCACCACGCACAGAGTGGTTTCTCTCATTTCTTAACAATTTCTGCCTTCTGATCTGAAGGCAGGTTGACTCTTCTTTGGAAGGCCTGTAATGCTTGTTCTTATTGGATTCCAAACACCCTAGAATAGTGAGACCTCGCTGGCCCCTCTGCTCTCAAGTCAGAGAGAGGCACAGAGGAGATGACTCACTTGTGAGTCTCTGATGGCTTTGGTAATGGAGAGAGAAACGCAGAGAACAGGCTGGAAGCAGAGTGCCGCTGGGTGTGGGAGGAAGCACCTTGCCCAGACACTGGAAAACTGAAAGGGAGAGCCGAAGTGTTCATCCCTTCAGCTTAAGTGCCTCCACACTTTCAGCTAAAATACATGCTATGTGTTGCTGATACTTAACAGTCTGACCAGTGCTGATACTTAAACCAGTCATTCCTCCTTTTAGGGACTACTGAAAGAAAAGAATGAGGTTCATCTACGTTACTTTAATTTTGATATTACTGTTGCCAACAACTGAATTAGATCATAGTACACATGCGGACAAACTTGAAATCTGTAATGTTTGGTGTATACTGATGGAAAGAAAAGATGACAATGCAAGTATTTTTCAAATAAAAATTGTTTCTTATTTATATTTTTAAACACTGTTTTGGTAGATGACAGGTCTCTTATAGTGGAGGGCCAGCACATCTCACGGTGTTTAAATACTTACCTATTCTTTTCGCGTCATTGAAATCTGGTTCAGGCTCACTATATGGCTTTAGCTCTTCTTCCTCATGACCAACATTCATCCACCGATCTTTCATTATTTGCTAGGAAATAAACTTTACATTATGTTTGGCCAATCAGAACATTCCACCACTTATTTTAGCTCTATTTTAGTAAATGTGAAATTTACTGGTTTACTCAACAAGTATCATGATGTCTTCTATCTAAAGTTAGTGTCCAGTTTGATTAGCAGGCCAACAAGAGGCAAAGGACTTTGGGACACACTTACATAACTTATGACAACTACAACTATCATCCTGCACACTCACCGAATGTATCCATTCAAAATAGCTTGCTGCCCATAGTCCTCTAAAAGGACTGTCTTCTCATTTAAAAGTTTTAAACCTAAGGACCTACTGATTTCAACCTCTCCTTCACAGTATTACATTTAGAAGAGACTGTCTCTTTTTCCTGGTCTTTTACCAAATATATGTATACCTGTATTTTAAAATCACCATTTGTTAAAACATTAGGAAAGCAGAGATCGTGGGGCATAGAAATCAGGGTTAGTCAGTAAAGGCAGCTCAGATAATACGGAAGGGAAGAATGGTCAAAATGGAAGCCTAGAGACAGGGATGAGCAAGAATCAGGATAAAGACAGGGACTGGTGTGAATTACCAGAGTCAAACTTAAGTGAGGCTGTTGAAACAAGAGTCCCGGGTTGTTAAAAGGAAACCTAGTGGGAGCACCCAATGGTACGGGAAAATAGTCACAACCTAGTGGGGGCATCCTATGGAATGGGAAAATATTCACAACTGTATATCTGATAAGGGGTTAATATTCACAATACGTACAAGAAATCCTACAACTCAGTAACAACAAAAACTGCCTGATTGAGGAAAGGGCAAAGAACTTGAACAGGTTTTTCTCCAAAAGAATATATGCCAAGGGCCAGCAAGCATATGAAAAGATGCTAACGTCACTAATCATCAGGGAAATAAAAACCATGATGAGGTATCACCTCCTTATCTGTTAGGATGGCTACTATCAAAAAAGATGAAAATAACAAGCATGGGTGAGCATGTGGAGAACCCGGACCCCCTATGCACTGTTGGGGTGACAGTAAAAAGGTGTCGCTGCTACAGTAAACAATACGGAGGTTCCTCAAAACATTTAACAGTAGAACTACAGATACGATCTAGTAATTCCATCTCTGGGAATATATCCAAAAGAACTGAAACAGGATCTTGAAGGGTATTTGCACACCCATGTTCATCGCAACATAACTCAAAATAGCCAAGATGTGGAACAACCTAAATGTCTGATGGATGAATGCATAAAGAAAATGTATCTACACACAATGGAATGTTATTCAGCCTTAAAAAGAAGGCAATCCATATGCTATATTGTGGATGAAACTTGAGGACACTTCTCAGTGAAATAAGCCAGCCACAAAAAGACAGATGATCATTATATGAGGGTATCTAAGGTAGTCAAAGTTCTAGCAACGGGCAGTAGAATGGTGTTTGCCAGGGGCTGGGAGAGGGGGTAACAGGGAGCTGTTCGATGGTACAGAGTCTCACTCATGTAAGGGGGACAAGTTCCAGAGATCTGCTGTCCAACAATGTACACAGAGGTCACAACACTGTAATGTATTCTTAAAATTGTAAAGAGTATACATTTATGTGTTTTTTTACTACACACACAAAGAAGCAACTAGTGCGGAATAATTCTGGGGAAATGATCCTGTATTAATTTAGAAAAATTTCTAACATTTTATTACTATTGAATTCTAGGTTTTCATTCAGGAACATTTTAGGTGTTGATATATTAATACTCTTTTTCCAGGCCCTGCAAAGTATACTCTCCATCTTGTAACTTTACTTGCCAATATTCTCCTAATCAGAAAAATAAAATTCCATATAGAGATCCTTTTGAGGCTAATTGTTTGCCCAGATACCTTCCCTTCATTTAATAATATTTAGCTAAAATCATTTACTAGAAGACAGAACGCCAGAGCAGGCCTCTAAGAACTGGAATCTATAAGAATACCGCTGTTCTGGCTCGGAGGAATTTTCCAAAGGTTTTGGTCACATGATACATATTTCAATGCAAATCTGTAGATAATTCATATATGCTTAAAATTATGCAGACATGTAACTTTTCACAGATCACCACTAACTTTCTTCTTCCTTTTCCCCATTTTATTGAGATGTAACTCCACTTCTGAGCATATACCCAAAGGAAACAAAAACCACTATTTTGAAGAGATATCTGCACCCCTATGTTCACTTCAGCATCACTTACAATACCCAAGACACGCAATCTAAGTGTCCACTGGCAGATGAATGGATAAAAATATATGATATATATTCACATCAGAAATTTAAGTACCTTATCCAGCACATTTAAATAAAAGTAGACCCATTTATAAACTTGAAAAACAATAATGCTGTCACTAAGTCTTTAGTGATTACTCATAAATAAGGGAAAAGTGTTGGGGAGGGTACCCAACAGGAAAAAAATAAAAAGGAAAAAAGCAGAGCTGCCAACACCAGCTACATGATTTCCCAAAATATTAAGGTCCTTCCTGTTCCTCATCTCCCCCTTCTCAAATAGTATGTCTGGCAGAAGCCTAGACAGCAGTTGGGCCCTAGTATCTGCAGAAGTAAAATTCTGCTGTTGGTAGAATTTCCTAGGTTGGAAGGAGAATACATAATAAAAATCCTCAGAGAATACAAGGGACCACGTCAGGACAGCTCCACAGCACATGCAATCCCGCCTGCACTTTGCAAGCTCTAATCCAGCCTCCTACTCCCCGACACCGAGTGACTCACTTCCACAGCCGGCGCACAGAGGGGGCAGCACAAGAAGCTGAAGCTTAAAAATGAAAGCCTTTAAACATGTTTAAAATAAACAGGACCAACCCCACCTCTCTCCACACACATGTGCTTGTGCACACACACATACGTGTGCTCACATGTGGGCACACGTGTATGCATGCGCACCCCCCCCAATACAAAGAAGTCTAACTGTCCTTTCATCAAAACATTACCTTTTAATGGGAATTCTTTGCATGTTTTTTGATATTATGATGAATGAGGCCGGGCAAAGAAGAAAAGGAACATAAGCTAGACCTAAATACTTCTGGTTTTTCAAGTGAACTCAAATTAAGTCCTCAGTGATGTTCTCAAGTTTAAGATGAAATGTTAAGAGTCTGAAAATAGTAACTAATGGAGTGAGATTTATAAACAGTCAAATCTTCGGTAAGAGGAAGTTAGATTCTGGAAGAATAAGAGTTCATCATGCAACAAGGAACTGGAAGGGAGAGCGCGAGCAAGCGACCCAGGCAGCGGGCATGGTGGGTGTGAAGAGGCCCAAGGGCAAACAACGGTGGCGCCTGTCTGGGGGACAGCAAGTTCCATATGACCGGAGTGTCCGGTGTGAGATGGGTGGTGAGGTAAGATGAGGGGAGAAAATTAATAGGGACCGGACCGAGAGGGTTTCTTTCAATCACGTGAGGGACATCTTTGGGGAGTATGATTCTGAAGCCTCTCTGGCCAGTGTGCAGAGAGCGGGTTGGAGGGGTTCACGACTGGAAGCCCAGAAATCAGTGAAGAGGCTTTAGTGAGAATCTAGGAGAGATGATGCTAGTCTGAATGAAATGAGGCAGTGGCAATGGGAAGAGAGACATTTTCAATATTTGGCTGGTAAAAATCAACAAAACTTTGTGATTGGACACGCAGGGGTATGAAGAGGTGAGACAATTCAGAGAAAGTGAAGACGGTGTCCAGGTTCCTGGTGTAGACAGCTGAGTAGGAGGGGTTGACACCATTTATTGAGAAAGCCAACTCAGAAAGAGGAGGCTGGATGAGGAAGCACGCAGCTGAGTTTGAGGTGCTACGGGTTATTCAAATAGACCCATTCTGTAAACTCCAGGGAACTCCAGGGAAATCTGGGCTGGGGACGGAGATTCAGGAACGGCCAACACAGGATGACAGAAGCTGTAAAGCGGGTGGGATTTTCCAGGAATACCAAATAGACTCGGAATGAGTAGAAGAGGGGCAATGGCAAAGCCCCACTTAAGGGTTAGAAAGAAAAGTAGCCCACAAAGCAAATGGAGGCAGAAAATCTGCACAGTGTGACCTGGGAGGCAAGGCAAGAGTTTTTGAAAGAGGACACAGTGTTGTCCTGCAAAGAAGGTGACCACTAAGTCAGTAATTGGTTGTGTTGAGGAGCAAAGACAGGTGGCTTCGCTGGGGGCAGTTGCAGGGGAGTAGCGGGGCTGGGAGTCGGAAGGCAGTGCGAGGACAAACAACACACAGGCGGGGAACTGCTGACTGTAAGTGGAGATGCTTCTTTAAAATCAGGCCGGGGGTGCCTGGGGGGCTCAGTCGGTTAAGCATCAGCCTTCGGCTCAGGTCATGACCCCAGGGTCCTGGAATGGAGCCCCGCATTGGGCTCCCTGCTCAGAGGGAAGCCTGCTTCTCCCTCTCCCCTCCTTGTGCTCTCTCTTTCTCTCAGATAAATAAATTAAAAAACCTTTAAAAAAAAAAAAAGTCAGGCTAGAAAGGGAGGAACAAGAAGGGATACTAGACAACGACTGCGGGGTTGAAGGGTGCCTTTGTCTAAAATGGAAGATGTATGTACAAAAGCTAAGAGATAAAGGTGTCAGCAGAGAGGAGGTGGGACGGTACAGAAGAGGGAGCTTTTCTGAAGGAGATACTGAGACAGCACAGATGTATCTCCCAAACTACAGTTAGAGTCCTTGAGGATAAAGACTGTGCCTTGTGCTATCTTTCCCAACACACATGCTTGTTGTTGCTTTTGAACTGGGCAGTATTTTAAAATAAGGCTGCTACAGAAGCCCCGGGTACAGTGAAGTGTTGAGAGGAGCTTAGCAATGAAGATGGCTAAGGAAGATGCTAGAATGTCCAGGAGACAGACAACCTCGGGCTGCACTGGGCATGAGGAAATGGAAGGAAAACCTAGAGGTATAATCCGAAGCACCTGATGACAGAATTTGTTCTGGGAATGAGGGAAAGAAAGGCTGGAATCCAAGAGGGTTCTAAGGATTTTAACTCAAGTGCCTGGTAGAATAAAT